TTTTTGTCCCGGTTTGTATCTTGCTATTGGGGTCTCCAGCTGGGCTAATTTTTCAGGTTTTTGCTATCCTTTATTGTATCGTGAATCATATTAAATCAGCAAACAAAAATAGCACGCAGCATGGGTCACAGACCAATCCAAGGGACTTTTACCTCGGAAGATCCAGTCAAGTTCACTCGAAATGTGTAAATATACCGGACATTACAGGACAATGTTTTGTGTGCGAGGATAGGTTTTGCAAAATCTGCATGTTCTGCAAGTTCTCAATGGATGTAACTAACAGTCGAGGCAATCCCAAAATGTGATGCCCAAATCGGAGATGCCTTAAGACAAGGAGGGCAGTCCCCGTCGACCATAATCACGCATTAACACCTGAAAATGTGTTCCCATCACTCCAGCCTAAATGTTCGAGGCAACAGCAAAGTATTGGATGTGCTCAACATATTGCCCGAAGGCCCACATAGGCGAAGAACACATGCCCTTTGTTTTGCCAGACGAAAATAGTAATTGATAACATCGAGTTGGAAGGATCAAGGTTCAGTGAGGTTAAGCAAGAGTCAGTGCAAGAGTCATACAAGCCGTGTCTACTTCGCTGAGGTTGAGCAAGTGAAGTTGATCTTGGACCTTCACTCCTGCCAAGAAGGCTCCTTTCGATTCTTGTCACGTCCAGGATGAGGTTCCGAAACACATTTATTCCTTTTAATATCCGGTATACTTTTGTCTTGTCACTTGTATGTCCATATACAATCATATACAAGCATTTCATGATTATGGTGTTTATTCCACATTTTGTGATAGTGAAGCCAAACAAATGGTTCATGTTTTGATCGACTATTCAAGACATTTCGGGGAGCAACAGAGCCGAACAAGTTAATATATTCATGCACACTTCTTTGCTGGGGTTGTCAACGAAGGCGCGACACAGACATATCATCGTTTATCCTGTTTTTGAATTATTTCAAACATGTTTTTATTTGACGTGTTTTTTGGAAATATTGTTGCATGTATTATATGTGTTCATCACATTATGCACCTCCGCTCTGTAAGAAACTTGTCAAACCTTCTTGGGTCTCAGTTTTTTGATGTTGGCTTGGAGTAGCTTGCATTTGCCGAACTGGACACTGGGAATGATGCTGGGTCAAAAGTCCAACAGTGGATCCTCCATGCAGTGATCACAAATACAGTGCACATGTACACATGTGTCTACAGCTCCAAACCATGGGGAGCCACCCAACGCCCCCGCTTTCCACACATTTTCACAGAATCTGTGGTCTCCGGTCGTTCTGTGACACTTGCCTTTGAGCTTCAGAGACTGGTACTGTTGAAGTGACCGATTCCAACGTTCCGAGCGTTCAGCCCTTCAGGCTATGCGATACGAGAGATGGCCGTCTCCTTCAAGGTGGAGCGCTGTTTGGAACCCAAACGGATCCAAACGGCTCAGTGCACAATGTTACACGTGGGTGTGAGTAGCAAACACTCAACTTGTTGGGACTTGTAAAGATCCTGCATAGCCACTTTGTATCATCTTTTTCATGTTCAGTCGGCAGTCGGCCAAAATTTGGTTTACCTTCCACCTTGATATTCAATCATCGCCAGCTTTTGCCTGCTGTTCTGGTCCTTGGTTGTGTTTAATTTGCTCGGATCATTCATCATGATACACCGGATTATAGGTATGCGGGTTGGAGATAGGAACAATCTTGTGGCCCAGAACATCATCACCATGATCGTCTGAGAAATTTCAACACGCAAGCAGGTCACCAAAGAGAGTGTAGAGTCAGCCAGACACGACCTTGGTCTCACTTGTGACTGATTCAGCTGAGATGTTTTTTGCCTTGAAAGTGTCCTCAGACCTGGTGAAAACCAGCTAGTTCGTTTGCAGATAGACACGGCCTTTCCTGAATCATTCTTCAAATTCATGAATGGCACGGCATTTTCCCACCTGTAAAAAGGGCCCCAAGAATCAAGGACTGGCTCAGTATTAGTTGCAAGATGTTGCAAGGTCTCCAGCTTGTGTCAGATGCCACCCGTGTCCAGAGCTTTCAAGTCTTGTTATGATTCGCTCCATTAATTACACGTTGGAGTCTACATGGAGATGGAGTGTACTGTGATCATTTGAGCACAATCTTAATTTATTGAACCTTAACTGGGCTGGTGTGAAGGGAACAATGGATATTATTAATGGCTGCAATGGAAGGTTGACTGACCTTCATTGGCTTCAGGCATTGGTGCCATCCAACTTCTGCATGAATACACAAGTGTTGGGATCAGAACCTGTTTGCACTGTTGATCGGATTTGTTGTTTTTTATCCACCGGATTTCATGTTTTTTGGATCTTTTTGGGCTGATTCTTTACCTCATCAGCTGTGGTGCGTTCACTGAGCAGTCGTCATACACATCCGCCGAAGTCCTGAGTCAGGGGAGTTCCAAGCCCATTCTGCTTGATATCCTGACCGTCCTCACCCTTTTCAGGAGGCAGGCCCAGGCATCAGCCCGCTCTACTTTTACAAGTTGCTGAAGAAAAGGCCTGATCGGGAGTCGGGAGAAACTAAGGGATGGGAGGTGACATTTGAATTGGATTGAATTGGATTGTTTTTATAGTTTGTTTTGAATTGGACATCTGATTTTATTCTGCAGATTCTTCAGTTTTCCATAGTGAGATGATGGACCACGGCTGTGTGCGAATAGGACACCACCCAGCTTGGTCAGGGAACCTGACCCCGTCCCCGGCCGCTCCCCTGGTGGTGGTTTGAGACCTTCTGATCCAGATTTTCATCAGTGTCTCTTTATCATGAGGCAGGGTCGGAGGTACCAGCGGTGATTTTACCACAGCTTTTTTCTAAGCTGTCAAATGCAACAGTATGTCCGATTCCACTTAAATTAGCAGGGTGTTGTGGAACCTGACGGGGTGAGTAGGAAGGAGGTAGGTCAACCAAGGTAACCATTTCTGGTCCTTCTATTAATTGTGGCATATGATTAATATTAAGAGGGTTTAAGGAGGACAATATTTAGCAAACAAGCCCTCCCTGGTGCAACCTTTTCTCTCATTTCTGGCCACACTCGCAATGTTTCTTCTCGGCAATCGTATTAATCTATAAATATATATATAAAAGATCGCCGATCGCAACCCACCACCGGTGGGATGATGGATTTCATGCCTTCCCAGGTGTCGTGCTGTGGTTGAAGATTTTATCCAAGAGCATGTGCACCTTGGCATCGAAACTCGAGCGATGATGCCTGACCCTGGAGGGGTGATGCTGCACACAATTTCTTTGTCAGCTCGAAGGAAACTTGACTCGACATAAACATTATTGTCACTTCTTGAGAAACGTGGCACAAGATTGCTCCTAGACAAATTGCCGAACTTGGAGGCTATAATACAGAACTTCTCGCATCAGATTGAGAATCGGGCAAGGAACGATTGCAACCTTGGCATCTATCCTGGAGATTTCCCGCCAACAGAGACCGCACGTGGGTTTGTATCATACCTATGAAAAAGGAACTATATACTGTCCAGGTTCATCCTCATGAACATTTGACTCTTCCCGTGGATAAATCAATGAACAGGTCTCGGGTTTTCCACGTCTCGTCAGCTTTGGTGGGGAGCAAAGTAGTCCAGAGTGCTGTTGTTGAATTATAAGAAAGATCACATTGACAACTAGACCATACAACCCTTCCAACTGGACTTGTTTTTGCACACTTCCAGTACATGATTCTTATCAGGCAAAATTTGCAGAGAGGTTATAATGATGAAAATAGCATCAGACCAGTCAGAAGCACTTCTGATGCTATGGGTTTGTGACAAGGAGCATGCAAGACATTGCTGCACAACAACAAGACAATCACCTTGTGTTTGACTAGGAACTGCGGCAAGTTGTAGTAAAAACTGCCTGGCCTAAACTTGTGGTACAGGAGCACTTTATCATCGATGGATGTTCTTGCAAACTGTTAACCCCGAGATGCAAGCGCTGCTTAATCTGATGAACTTTCTAGGAGCAAGGACGCTACTAGGGGCTCCTGGCATCGCTACTAGGAGCAAGGACGGTACTGGGGGCTCCTGGCCGTACTACTAGATTTGCAGCTGGGACTCACCAGATGTAATTACTGAAACAACTTACTTGGGGTATCGCCTTACCCAATCTATGAATTTGATACGGGAGCGGCACACAGACATGTTTGAAACATCTTCGAACCATGGATTGTTTTCTTTTAACTTATAAGCTCAAGATAGCTTATGGCATTTTGGAAAGCAGCAAACTGTACCATTGGATATTGCATGTCTACCACACTGTCAGTGGGTTTGAGAAAGCTATGCAACAGGTTCGAGCTCGATATGCGGATGAAGGCCATAAAATTGCCATAAAACTAAAGCAGGCTCGAACATTTGTCATGTTGTAGAAAAAATGGTTGAAAGTATCATTTTGTAGAGTTTTTTGGGCTTGAACAAGGGATCGACCCCACTCAGGCGTCGCGCGTTTTCGAGGTCGGAATGTGATCGAAATGAAGGTTTTGGAGCGTTTACGTGCGGCAAACCTCGTTCCACATCTCAAGTTTTTGGCATCACCTTTTCTGGAAGTCGAGCATGGGGTTTACCGGCTTGTGCTAGTTACTCTGCTCGGGATTGCTGGAAGTCGAGCAGGACTAAACTCTTGCCAAGTGCTTCACCGGCTCACCCTTTGCTAGATTTCTGTACTGCCAGCTCCTGACACATTGCATCAGCAGCGGGTTGGACCAAAGGATTCTGTGTGCTTATCAAGTCTGTCTGCAAGTACAAGTGGCGTCAATAGACCCCTACCCCACCCACACACCACCCCACCCCACACCCCATCTATGACGTAGCATCAAGTATGTTTGCAAGTACAAGTGACGTCATCATTAACCGTCCCAACTACCTTCCGATGACACGTGTTTGCAGACAGTCCGCGACGCCCTCGTGGGGCGGTACCCTTGAACATCTTGAACAACCCGCATTTTGTAGAGAATGCATGTTGATGCATTTTGTAGAGATTTGATTCAACTGTGGAAGATGCATTTTGTAGAGATTCTTGCGCGATGCATTGTTTAGAGATCTTCAGTCGAGTGTGGAAGTAGAATTTTGTAGAGAAGGAAGGTATCTTAAAGAGCCTGATAGCACGTTGTAGAGATTTTTGGGCAATTCGGGTCGAGTCTTAGCATGACCTTAGCACTCCTTGGTCTACGTGGTGCTTTTCAAGTTCTCCAAAAGCTCCAAGTCTATCCTTAGTCCATCCTTAATGCACAGGTTTTCAGGTACAAAGCAGGGAGGCAAATGAAGGCAAACATGTGCACACCTTATATATATATACATATATGTGTTAATACATGTTTTGGGAAATGACCCCCTTGATTTGGGAAAGGCATAGGAGATCCCTCATCTTGTAGAAAAAATCGCGAGCCAATTAATACAAACTGACGTCGAGGCCCGCATTTTGTAGACGTTTTCGTACCATTTTGTAGACTGACTTCTTTCGGAGGCGCCATTTTGTAGAGCAAACAAAATTGTTATTTTTACAAAATGCCTGTCATGACCTCATTTTGTAGACTGTTCAGGCGCAAAAGCAAGGCTCATTTTGTAGACACGAGATCTGAGTAGTCCAGGGGTCATTTTGTAGGAACAAGAAGCTACTAGGGGCTCTTGGCACCGCTACTAGGAGCAAATTGCAAAGGACGCTACTAGGGGCTCCGGGCCATACTACTAGGAGCAAGTAGCTACTAGTGACAAAAAGCTACTAGGGGCTCTTATAGATTCAGTTGACCCAAAAGGACTAGGGCCATTTTGCAGACAAGATGTACTTTCATTTCGACCTCATTTTGAGAGGGTCGGATCTCTTGTAGACAAGAAAATTGTAGAGTCGTTTTGGTACAATGGGTATCATTTTGTAGAAGGTACCATTTTGTAGAGCCAAAAGATGGTTCTCTGGTTCTCTCATGTTTTCTCTACAAAGTGAGGGCCTCCACCCTTCCCCTAATTTTTAACGGGGATGAAATGCCCGTGCTCAAGGCATTCCAACATGTTGGTGACATGCCTTCCGATAGTTTGCATTAAGCCAAGAGACCAGTTCTGCAGTAGCCCCTTATCATCAACCAGAGCTACCATGGGCTTTATCATCGTGCCTGGTGCCATGTTTTTTGGGCTCTGTATGTGTCTATGTCCAGAATCTGCATGGGATGTGAAGAGACTACCTCTTGGACACTTGGACTCTCAGCTTTTCGCAAGGAACTGTTTCTACCATGGCATCGACAGCCGCTGAGCTGAATGCAGCACGTTTCACCTTTTGTAGTGCACCTTCTCATGGGAAGGATTGCTGGATGAACCAGACCCCCTCCATCCCAACTGAGAGAGTATAAAAACCCCCCATGTAAGAAATTAGTATTCGCATGTCCGTTTTTCTGAAAGCATGCTCAATCCCCTGTAAACCGATAAGGAAGCAAAAAAACGATAACCCCGATGACTCTTGTGCAAAACCCTTGACATGCGAGACGTGGTATATGCTTGGACAGAGGTGGAAGGGCTTGGTCCGCTGTAGCCTTGTGCTGCAGCATTGTCGTGCCACATGGTTTTCCAACTTGCACAATGCATGAAAACGATAACAAAACGACAACAAAAACGATAACACAGCGAGCCTAAAACACCTTTCCGTAGACAGGCCACCACATGGGTGTAGTTGGAATGAAGCGTGCCTAATGTCTTCATATCTGCAAGGTTCCACACACCACAAGCATGTAGTGCACACACTACATCACACTGTACCTAAATTATACTGTTACTACATTTGTTGCAGTTATGCAAAGTGCTGTAAAACGATGAGGAATAAAAGAAAACGATAACGTCATAAGTGGTATAGGGAAAGGCAGGGGGGTTTTACACAACCTCAACTGAGAAGCCGACTTGGAGAGAACAACAGTCCATGCCTCAAGGCGTGTGAGGTCCTGAGGTTTCCACCATGGTCAGATGGACATTGGAGTTTCCCCGGTTTCCACTACACAACACTGGTGACCCAGACCCAGGAAACAATGACAAGCTGGAGCTCCCAAAATAGACTTTTCAAACTGTTCTATTGATTTTTTAGTGTGAATGGAAGTTTGGCACTTTGAGAGGGGCTTTCTATGTTTTTTTTAACAATTTTCATTTGTTGGACGGACTCGACACCAAGGCTCCGAGCGTTGCACGGGTACCAAGATGAAGATTCCCAGCATGGGTGCCATCATGGTCGGCGTCCCTTGGAAGGCATTGGGGTGGGACCATATGGGTCCTCATGTTGGACCCTCGGGTGAGTTGGACACTTTGGGGCGAGCAAGTGGCTGAATCAATTGGTGAAATAGGCCGTAATCAGATTGGCTGCTTGCATCATTACCAAAGTTGAAGAGTTCTCGCTGTGACAAGGTAATCCTACACTTGGGATCACTGCATTTCTTGTGCTTTCCAGTTCTCTCCTTTGGCTGTTGAGACCCTCAGCTCAGTTTCACTGATTCCCCAAAAGTATGTTTTGGAAATTCGATTTAATGTTGGGACATCTAGAAACAACTCTGTCAAACCCTGGGATTGACCAGGTTGAGGCAAAATCTCCGCCTCCTACACACCATTCAGGGATGTTGTATTTGTTCCACCTCAATCAATTTTTGTTGGACGTGATGGTCCTCAGAGTATAGGGGCCTTGTCAGAGGCCTCTTGTTTTTTGTTTCATCACCGTGCTGAGGAGATGACCGTACAAGATATCCGCTTCTCAGAGGTCTGCACGAGTTCTTCGATCGAGGTTGGTAGCAAGAATAGTGATGAACTTATTGAACTTAGTAACATAGTGCTGCATTAACATCTTATCTCTCAACCACCCATCGAGAGTATCACCAGTGTTTGGCTCTCCTGGTTAACATGTTTCCAACTCGTGTAAGGGGAGCGCTGCGGCAGATGTAAGAGGATAAAGAGGTTGATTACTTGCTTGCAGTACATCAACGCACAGCGTTACAAGAAGCTTATGGTTGTCCATGTCCTATTTGGAGGTTTTGCTCGTTATCAAACGGTTCAGTTGGAATGAAAGCCAAAAGAACAGCTGAACATGCTTTCTTGGTATGCTGATGCTTTTGTATTCTCCCTCTCTCAGGAAGATCCTCGTTGACGGTCATTTTGTCGGTCGGTAAATTTGGATCAGCTTTTGCATGCCAAGAAAAGCGTCCATGTGTGAAGCCACCCTGGAATGCGAATCAGTCCACCAGTCGCAACTCATGACATGCACTCTAACCCTGCCGTCGGTATCGTGCTTAGTCGAGCCATGCTAATTAAGCGGGAAAGCTGGTGCCCAGGTTGGAGCAAAAGCCTTCCTCTACTCGTCTACCTGAATGTTCCAAGTAAAGGTTGGCAGAGGCGTTTTGTGGCCATGATCATGCTTCTTGAAATCCAGTTGTGGCAGGAACAATTTCACTTGGAGCTGAACATGAGGAATTTCGTGGCAAAGAAATGAGGACTGGTCTTGACCAAAACCCTTCGAACAAGATCTCTCGGAGTCTCCAAGAATCTGTTTCTCCAACTCTGAGGCCATGTTTGGTGAACTGTTCTCCTCCAGTATCTCATGGTTTTAACCAGGATGTACTGCATACGAATATGGATAATTTTGCTCAAAGGGTATAGTATAAAAGGCAATGTAACACCACCTTTTCTCAGGTCCTTTGTGTGAACCAAAGCCATGGTGCACCTATTCCACAGATCCAACATCTAGGGATGATTCTTCAAGGGACGTTGTCAACACATGTAGGTTAGTTGTGAAGAATTAGAGCAAGCACATGTAAGCACACTGATTCACTTTCTGGAATTCTTCTCTACCTGTTTGTTCACTGAATGTCAAAAGCCATGCTTGGTTGACTCCTTGGACAGTGTTTATGTTCTGCTTGGCCAGGCACGAATGTGCCCTGACAAGTGGAGTGTGTGCTCAATTTTTGTCTTACTTTATATATATATAGCTCTTTACATGTTTTCGACAATACCCTGGGGTATACCCTGGGGTATTCTGCTTGGGATATTCCTGCTCTGCGGAACAGTCAAAAACACACAAGGATACTTTGTGGCCGAGTTACTCTTTCTGGGGGGATGACCCAAAGCAGGAGCTCCAGGAGTGCTTTACATTACATTGCTTGATAGATTCCGCCGGTTTCTTCCTGTATTTTGTTGCCCCTTTTCTATGACCTGGGTCATGGGTTTGATTGGATTTCCGTGTAGACCAGTGGACAAGCAAATGAGCAGGGAAGTGTTGTCTCGGAGCAGCAACTACGCAATTTGTCTCATGAAATTCTCCAATCCACCGTTTTCCGTGCTACTGTTCCTCACATCCATTTTTGGCTGATCACAGTTCAAGCATTGACATCCTACGGGGAAAGTGTAGGCTGAGCTGAGTGTTCAACAATGATGGCCACAGCCATAGAGAAGCGGGCGCAAGAACAGGACACCATGTAACGTTTGTCTCAAGAATGAGCACTTGTCTCTCTCTCTCTCTCTCTTGGTGGTCCACACTGGCCCTCCACATGTTCGGCTGGATTCAGCGTTCCCCAACGCAGCGAGCATTGCATACTCTGATTGGCATGTGGCTTGTGCAGAAGACCTAGAACCTAGATTCTGGATGGGTTGCGACGTGAAAAGACAGTTGTGGTTTCTTTTTGCAGTGTCTGAAGAACAATAGAAAAACCAAAGCGAACAAAACAGTCAGCAGCATGTTCACTTGCATGGCCTGGTTCCCAGCCCAAAGATGGTAGAATATAGATAGAAACAATATGAAACAATTGCAAATTAGTGGGTGAAAAGCGTTGCACAAAGAAAGAAAACCATTGTACCGTTATGCAGAAGATGGATGAGGCTAGGATGAAAAGCTGGCTGAAGTAAATTACAAGCTTATTCTCCAATTTCGGTGTTCAAGCTCCAAGAATCCCACAAGTTCTGTCCGGGTGTGTGTCCTCCAATATCCACCCTCATTACATCTACGTTTTGGTTTGGTGATATTCTTCGAGGAAGACTTGATTTGCACAATGCAGCATGTTTCGATAAACTGCCTTCCTACAAGAACCTCCCCAGGTCAGTAAGGTGGCATGATGCACATATCATTTACTGCAGTGAAATATATAGTAAATATAGTGTCTTCCAAATCCACACAGAACATGGAGACAACCTTCCTCAAAACTTCACCTGGATGGAATATGGAGCCCCAAGCTTCGACAAAGTTCCTCTACAAACCAGCCGTGTGGTTCACTTGCGAGGGTCCAACCTGCGTACACTTGTGGAAGTCGCGCACAATTTGCAGAATTAATGGAAAACTGAGTATAAATATACACTTCCACACACTCCTGTCGTCAGTAACTGGCGCTGCTCGCCAAAAACACATCTACTCCATTGTGTTCTCTGTGTTTATCTTGCTTTGTTTCGAGGTTTTAGTCCATTCTGATTCAACGAGACATACAAACGCCGTGAAACACTCTTTACAAAGCCGAAGGGCATGGCGGCCTTCAGACAGTTGCAGAAGATTGCGGAAGTACATTTTGTGGGTCAACCAAAGTCCCCAAGTTTGTTGTATTACACGGCCATGGTTGACCTTTATCCTGTTATCATGTTATACTATAATGTGATACGCTACAAAAGCAACATATTATATTCATGTTTATTTACTGTATACAATGTGACACCTAGACATACCAAAATAAACATAGAAAGAACCCAATCGGCGAAGCTCTGGTTCCACTGTCTAGGCTTGCCAACCATGGCCCCTCAAACCTCGCAGCCATTGACTGCATCGAGGGCCCACGTGAGCTGCCAGTGCTTTGGCGGCAAGTGGTTGCGCGTGCAGGGTGAAAGAAAAGAATAGCAATGCAGATAGAAGGGGCTTTGGTGAAGACTCGGGAAATCCTTGACCACTGCATGTTGAGAGAAACACAACAGGTACTAAGCAGAGAGATAGTAGGAGACCCGACCGAGAGTCAAGTGACTATACTTGAAGCAGATGGTGTTCACAACATTTGGGTGTTCATCTACTTCCGACAATCGGTGTTCACAACTTGAGTCTCGCTGACTCTGCTTGAGTTCGAAACATTTGGGGCCGAGTGGGAAAGGATTCTGAAATCAATCGGTGCTCAACGACGAGTACTATGTTTATGACCCTTTGTTTGACAGTGGTGTGCAACTCATGACCTTTTTTGGTTTTTGATTCCTACCGCTGCCACCACACCTACAACAAGTTTCTGCAAATACTGCTGATACTACTGCCACACCTATTGCAGCACAGCGTTAACGACGACCACAACAACACCTACTATGACTACTGCTGCCGCTGCTGCTGGCGCTACTGCTTTTCCTACTCCTACTCCTACTCCTACTCCTACTCCTACCGCCGCCGCTGCTGCTGCTACCATTGTGATGAAAGTCTTCACGGACAATGCAACCACTCTTTTGAACTCCTTGTCTCAACAGCTCAGGGGGAGCTCAACTACTGCCAGCTCCATGAATATGCTGCTCAGATGACAAAAGAATATTGCGCATTTTGCGGGATGGGTTGCCTCATGTGGGATCCGGGGAGGTAGGCTGGCGATCCATCTCTGGAGAGACCCAATGTCTTCTCCCTATTTGATCATTTTCTCAGACAGACCAAACTCCAGTTTGGATTAATTCGTCAGGGAAACTGGCAGGGGTCTCTCAGTGCCGAGGCTTACTGCCTAAAATGCAGCTAGGGAAGCTTGATGCTTCATTGTCCATTGTGATTTGTGATGTTCATTTTGCTTTGGTGGCCAGTAGCTCTAGGGTCGACTGTTCTTGGTGTGAATTTCAAACCGTGTCACATGGCGTGGAGAACGCTATTTACATGCTCTTGATGGATTTGGGCTTGACAGAGTCCATCAGCCAACCTCTAATGGCATGAGGAGACTGGGAATGGACATGTGTCCCAGAAGTTTAGGTGATCAACGAATTTCTTTCATCAAGAACCTTCATTCATGCAAATTGCTTGAGGTTTGGTTGCTCAGCTTTTGGGAGGATGACCATCCCAGACTTAGATTGTGATGCTTTTTTTGTTCGCCCGAGAAGTGGCTTGATGACTTTCAGGCGAAGCAGGTGGCTGGCTCCCTGAAACAGCTGGGCCTGGGGCCTTCCACCACCTTAGCCTCAGCCCTGCGGCGTGGCAACGCGCCGAGTTCGCAGGCGAAGGAGGTTTGGGGTTCTGGTGAGTGAAGCCAACCAGTTGGCAGTTGACTGGATGTTTCTTTGGGGTTCTGTATTAAGAGAACAGATTGGACACGAAAACAAGGTAATTGTTGCAGTTTAGGTGTTCGCCCTCCTCCTTTGCTTAGAGTTCCAAGGAAGGCCGGTGGCCGGTGGCCAGCGACATAAAATGACTATAGTGAAGGAAGGAGATCGGGGACATAGAGTGCCCTACAAGAATCCTTGGTCTTAAGACAGTTGTAAGTATAAAGTTGTAGGTTTTGTGTCTGCAAATGGGAAACCAAGAGCTCAGAGTGTAGCCTTGCCAGGAGAGGACTTTGTGTTGTTTCGGCAATGCCTTGTTCGGAGAGATGAGCACATGTCTATACATGTCTGGATATGCACAATCCAGGTTCCATTCGTGTCCATACGTGTCTTATTGTAGATATCACATTTGTTTCTGGTTGCGGATTGAATGCAATAGTTTCAACTGGCCAAGGACTTCTACGTGCTCTTCCTCTCATGCACCTACTGCCGCATCCCTTTTGTGGCCTTGAGTACAGATCTTCCCAACAAGGAGACACTTAGGTGCGGTTTGAGGTTAATTATAATCTTGGTTGCCCGATGCAGTGCCATGTCGTTGTCATCACTATTACCCAACTGCAATTTGTTTATGGTGTTTTGTTTGCCCGGAAATCCGGGAAAGGGAGTTGCCAATCTTCAATCTGGCTTGGAACTCGCCAATACCAATCAGATCGGGTTCGGGATTGGAGACTTGCAAGTAGAAGGTACATGTTTTCCATGCTACAATGGAGACAATTGTAGACGCTGTTGGTGAGTTCTTATGCATCGCCTAGGACATCCTAGGACTTACGATAGGGGGTAAGGAGAGCTTGTCCATCCACAATATACCTGTGTATTTAGGTAATTTTAGGTATGTATTTCTCGTCAGATTCTTTGACATGGGTATGTCTCAAATGACCCTCCAAGCCAATCTTTACCTATATAATCAGTGCGTTGAGAGGAACCATTCGCATGCTGTTATTTTTTGGCGCTGCAGTGCACCAGCACCCGTAACCGTCAGGGCCTGGGAATCGCGGATGGTGCCTATGAACAACCAGAAAGGTTTAAGAATCTGTGGGCAGAGCAAGGTAGTAGTTACTAGTAAACGCCACATAGATCTCTAGTAAGAGTGGATGGTGGGGGAAGTAGTGTACAGACCTTGTGCAATGGGAAGCGAACCCTATGGTCTGGTGTGGGTCTCCAGCAGTCCAACAGCCGTTAGGATGACCGCTGCAGTTCCTGCTATCCTCCTGTCCTAGCATCTCCCAGCTGGCGACAATGGAAGACATTCCACGAATGGCAACATGGA